CAAATAACTCTTCTGAGTGATTTTCACTCACATTAAACCCTAAATTTCCCTGTGCACAAAACAACACACACACAGAAGCAATAGCTGTTGATGTGCTCTTCTATTAGCAGCAGAAAAACTTCACTAAGAATTAGATGAAGGCAGTTTTATGTCCATATTGTCAAAGGCTTATGTAGAAAATGAACTAATTCTAATAACAATTTGATTTCTTCATCCATTTGAATCTGCCACCTCAAAACATGCCTCTCTGTCCTGCAATTATTTTAAGCTGGGCATTTTTAAGAAAATGCAGACACAAAAGAAGATCTGAAAATTGAGTAGAAGGTATCCTTTTATAAGAGACATTTATATTCACAAGGGAAACCTCTGTTTGTAAAAGTGTCTCCTGCCTTGTGCCAGGAAAAGGGGAAGGACTCAACATCCAGAAATCTCAGTATGCATAACAACTTCAGCCTTGTTTACTGGTCTTTTCCTAGTCACCTCTATAACTGACTCCCTCCCCCCAAAATTTTCCTTTGTCTTGAGCTACAGATGGTATTTAAGGTGATGGCTTTGGCCATGTCAAGTGGTTACTCCCTACCTTGGAGTTATACAATAATTATTAAATTTTTGTCTTACTCCAGTTCATCTGTTTTATTTATTTATTTTTTATTTTTTTAAAGATTTTATTTATTTATTTGATAGACAGAGATCACCAGCAGGCAGAGAGACAGGCAGAGAGAGGAAGGGAAGCAAGCTCCCTGCTGAGGAGAGAGCCTGATGTGGGGTTTGATCCCAGGACCCTGGGATCATGATCTGAGCCGAAGGCAGAGGCTTTAACCCACTGAGCCACCCAGGTGCCCCAGTTCATCTGTTTTAAGTCAATTTAATTATTAGACCAGCCAAAGAACCTCAAGAGTAGAAGTAAAATATTCCTCTCCCCAGCACAGTACAAAGAATCTAAGTAAAGTTCATAATGCTCTATTTGACAATGTTAATGTAAAATTATCTAAAAAGGTCAACATCAAAGATAAAATTATTGGTTGCCTCAGTAATAATAAAAGTGTAAATCTGGAGAAGGACAACATCTTGGTAAAGGCAGGTAAGTTTCCTATGAAGAAGAAGTAACAGCTGTAAGTATTTTAAACAAATAACTCATAATTGTATCCAAACACACTGTAATAGTCTGCTAATGAAAGATGAAGTTGTAGTTTTAAAATTTTAAAAGCATTCATGAATATCCACAGTAGGTTAGTTTGGCAATCAGTTCTTTTCTTTACCTCATAAATCCCATCTGTTGTATTATTATCCTTGTGCCTTTGTGTTGCTGGTTTTTAGGCTGTTAGTATGCTGTTTTATATAACAAAGCACACACAAGAGATTTTCTTCTGTTTCTTGATTAGACTACTACTCTGCCATGCTGGATTCTAAATCTTCCCCTCCCCATCCCCCCCAACACACCTATGCTACTTCTGCACAAACAGTACTACTTTTCTCTACTCAAAGACTTTCCCGTGATTTTACTCAGATTGCTTCCACTCCTTCAACCTGACTCAGCAAGATGGGACTGCAGTTTACAGTTTTTGGGAAATATCACAAGACTTTGGCAATTTTACTGTTTCTCTTTTAACTTTCATAGAGAAGTTTCTAGGAACAGCAGTGTTTGTATTGGGGAAATTTGAAAGAAAATTAAGAAATCTGCCAAGTTACATAAGAATCATCTTTTATCTTTTTATTTATTTTATTTTTCAATTAAAAAAGATTTTATTTATTTGACACACACAGAGAGACATAAACAGAGAGTAGTAGAGTGAGAGGAAGAAGAAGACTCCCCCTGAACAGGGAGCCCAATGCTCGATCCCAGGACTCTGGGATCATGACCTGAGTGGGAGGCAGATGCTTAATGACTGAGCCACCCAGGCACTCCATTTTTAAAAGTTTAAACAGGAATTTGATCACCTCTAATTGCTGGTATTGAACTTGAATATACCAAGTGAGGTTTAAGAGTGCTTTTTTTTTAAAGTTATTTTTATTCATGGCGTTAGTATTAAAGAAGGGAACATTCTGATGTGACACTAATAATGATAATTAAAGTGAGGAATGTAGGATTTGTCACAGCACTCAGGATTTCCAGAGATCTCTTCCTGAGAGGTAGTCATATATTTCTCTCTCAGTCTTTTATTAAGTATGATAGTTAATACAAATATTTAATATTAATAAACATAAATGTTTGTTCAACATGGCTCAGGTGTGTTGCTCTTAGCTTGAAAGGCTGAACCTTGGAGAAGCATAGGAGGTTATTCACACTTCCTTAACCTTTCTTAGGTAGGTACTCCCTGCCTAAGATTTCAAAACTCACATATGTTTATACATAAGGGTCAGGAACACACCACCTGTGGTAGGCAGGGATCGTGGCACTTAGACTAACCAACAAAGAGCATACATAGCATCTATCCTGGGAGTTAAAGCTCATAATTTTTCTGCTGAAAATCCACTCAGATGCTAGACTCTGAAGTATGTGTCTATTGATGTATAACTTTACCTTATAAATTATATCATATTCTTGTCTGCATTTCTAGTTTGTGTACCAATTTCTTTGTTTTCCTTTATCAGCAAAAATTCATGACCTTTAGTCTCAGCATGTCACTGACATTGAGATAGGCAAAATATGGACATTCAGGAAATGAATACTTCCCAACAAGAAACATAAAGAATGTCAACAGATATTTCCTCAAATCTATCATATTGTGTGTCCAAACCCAGTCTCAGAGTCGTATTGATCTTTAAAAAAAATCTCCCAAATCCATGAAGCACAAAACCACAGGCAAATAATAATAATAAAAAGATCAACAATATATTTGATTGCCAGCTTACAAAAATTTATTAGATTAAAATGTTCATTTTTATGAGCCCTGCTCGGACCCTCAGTCTCCTTGCCTGCAACTTGAAGATTGGATCCGTCAAGCACTCTCGCTAAAGATTTCAGCAGTTCCTAGAGTAGGAGAGTTGCAGAGGCTGTCCCGGGACACCAGGGAGGTGGTGGCAGCTGCCCGCAGGCCACGCGCTGGCTGTCCCGGAACCACGGGATCTCCGAGGAGTTTTTTCCCATTGTAGGCTTTGATCACGAGGTAGTGAGTGCCCCATCCCAGGACGTTCCAAGCAAGGACCCTGGGTCAGGGGTGCCCATGAGGGGCTCACCTCTGCTTTTAGTGCCAAGATTTGGGGCTGTCTGTCTTACTGGCACATGGTTCGGGACCTGAAGGACTGAGATGGGAACTCAGTGTCAGGCTTGAGGTCTGACCCTGGGGCCTGGCGGTGACGGGGGTTGGTTTCTCTCCCACCTTCTAGACTGAAAACTTGCTGCTTAGGGGTCATGGGACCCTGGGCAAGTGACTAAGTCTGCGTTTCAGTTTCTTCATCTGGAAAATGGGGATAATAGCCATAAGGTTGTTTCAGGGATTAAGTGAGATCACTGGGGCTCCTTGAACCAGGCTGGGCATGCAGAGAGCACACAGAGGGCACTGATCAGTGTGCTCCTGCCTCCAAAGCACTCCGGCCAGCGGAAAGGCCTGGTGGTGGTGGTGGGGGGGGGGCTTCAGCTCCTCCCACTCTTGTAGCTAGTGCTTTCTTGACATCTGAGACTGGGCCCCCGCCTTGCCCTCTTTCCCTGCCGGATGTGCCAAAACCTGAGGTGCCCAGAGCCTCAGGGGACAGGCCATGGGGTGTCCTGCTCCATCCAGAGGCACCTTCCAGTGACTTCTGGGCCAGACCTTTTTGTCATGTGGTTGCTGCCTCTCTAAAATCTCCCAGCCCAGGCCCTGTTGTGCTCCAAATGCCCTGGTGACTGGGAGTCTGTCTGTGTCCACAGAGCTATGGCTGGCAGAGAAGTGGGCTCAAGAGACAGCAGGGCTGGGGACAGCTTCTCCATCTCCTGGAGGTGTCTGGATCTCCACACAGCACTGTCCCCTTTTCTGCCTGCTGGACTTGCCCCACTACCCACCTTCAGTGTCGAAGTCACCTCATCTATCTCAGGTAGCTCACCCAGGGGCCTCTCTGCCGCTTCCCTCCAGACAACACCTCCCCACTGGCTGACCTGGGCATCTACCAACAGTGATCCTAACCCTTGCCTTTACCGTCTCATCCAAGCCCATGAACTGCTTTGGGACCTGGGACAAGTCTCAGCCTCAGTTCTCAAATCTATGAAATGGGGATCCAGTCTCCTTACTTGCTAAGGCCTATTGTAGCAAAACAAATCTAATAACATTTTTTTTCTGGTCTAACTGTATGCATCCACTGAGCAAGAGTGTAGGCAACAGGCCTGCATATCCCTGGTTGGGGATGTTGTCACACATTTCTGAAATTGAGTCATTAAAGATCTCAAGGCTGTGTGACCTTCTTGCCACACCTGTGTTTGTCTATGTGGAGTGTCCTTGGGATGTTTGTCTAGTTTGTGGTGCTGGGGTTTCTACTTATGGGTCCTCTTCCATATCTTTCTTTGTGGAGCCACATTCACCAAGAGCCTGGAAGGGGCTCCCCACACCCGAGCGTCACATGCACATACACACACTCACACGCACACGCATACATATACACACAAGGCAGGATGGGGCCATGGAAAGCTGAGGACTGGAATGATACCTGGAGCTCCAACTCTATCTCTAAACCTTAGTTTCTGGGTGACTTTGGACAGTGACTCTGATCATAGTCTCAGTTGCTAGCTGAGAAACAGGGGGGCAAGTGTCAATGTGAACTTATTGATTTTCTGTGTGGTTTGAGGGGGAACATCAATAGAAGAGGGGTTTCCCAAGCTTGTGTGACACAGTCTGGGTGGGTCCCAGGTGCGCAGCCCAGGGTGAAACACCAGGAGTCACTGCAGTTCCCATCCTGGCCTGGAAGCTGGCCAGGTGTGGGGCTCCCCAGCTAATGGGAGCAGCCCACCAGGCTGGGCTCTCTGGCCTTTGATTCTTCTGATTCTGTCCCTTGCAGGCCTCAAGCTGCTCAGAGCCCCAGTTGGAGCAGCCATGACCCGCTGGACATCCCTCAAGGCATCCAGACCACATAAACCTGCCCCCTGCAGTCCAATGGCCTGCTGCCAGCATCTAAGTACCGGGCCCTGGCCTCCTCTGCCTGGAGGGCCCAGGAATCTGGGGCTGAGCCATCTTCTCGGCACAGTACCCGGGGTCCCCACCACCCCTGGCTCCCTGCCTCCTGGCCCAGGCAGAAACAGCATCCACCATCACAGCCCCAGGCCTCAGCTCCTCAGACCTATGGTGAGGTGGCCAGCTGGAGTAGCTGTGGGGGGTGGTGGCAGTGTGAGAAGAGGCCTCCGCAGAGCCTGACATGCCCACAGCAGGAGACCTCACATTATCTAGAGTCATTCGAATTTCAGCTCTCCTGCTTATTGGCTGTGTGGCTTTGGGGAAGTCACTTAACCTCTCTCAATCTCCATTCTTGGTAGAAGTAATGATGGCAGCCACCTTCTTGGGGTTTTGCTAGGATAATCTAAGACCATTTGCTAATGTGTCTGGCCTGCTTTCTCTGCAGTTTGAGGAGTGGGCAGTAAGGGCCATGAGTGTTATATATGTGCCCGCTCTGGAGATTCAGAAACATCTGGCAACAGAGACAGACCCTAGGAGGGATGTGTAGCCTGGCTGCTCATTTGGACTTCTCCCTCACCTGTCTCCCAGGTGTTTGAAGCATAGGTCAGATGTTGTGCTCCCTCTGAGGCCCTGGCTGCACCTGGCCACACAGACAGGGGCTAAATCCCAGTGTTGCCTCCCTCTGGCTATGTCACTTCCAGTCTCTGGGTTTCTGGTGGGTGCTCATCCACCTGCTTCTGCTTCTGGACCGGCTGCCCTGGGACCTTCTTATCTGGGGCCTGATTGTCTTCTGGGCACTTGAGGGCTCCCAGCCTTGTCTAACACTGGCCTCCTGGTGTGAACAGGTGGGGGTTTGGGGTGAATGGGGTCCCCAGTGGTGGAGGGAAGTATGCCCGACTCAGTGTCCTGGCCAGGCCAGCCGGCCAGGGTTCTCCCCCTCCTTCCAGCTCAGCCCTGCTGAACAAGGCTGAGTGCCTGGGCACCTGCAGCCCTGACGCTAAGGTTTAGATGGCCTCAGTGCCCACAGGGCCAGGTGGCACCATGGCCTCTGGCCTGCAGGTGCCTGGGTCTGGCACCAACAGGCCAGGCTGGAGCCAGCGGGGCCCTGGGGGAGGGGGTAGCCAGCTGCTACCGGCCCATATGGGGGCTGAACGTGGGCTATGGGCCTGAAAGCAGTGTGTCCGACTGCAGGTGTCATGCTGTGGGCCATGCGTGAGACAGCTTGGTGTGCATACATATGTGCGTGTGTGTGACAAGCCCACCAAGTGCTCCTCTGAATGGGCCAAGGACAGTGATACTCTGAGTGTTGCCTGGATGCTGTCATTTAGAGCTGAGAAAGGCAGTGATGGGGAAGGCCGCTGGGATGGGGTCAGTCAGTGACCCCTCTGGGTACTGACCCGTGGACCCTCTTCTAGTTACAGATGGAGGCTGTGGTGTATGGGCACTGAGAGTGGGTGCAGTGGGGCACAGGTTTCGAGCATCAGGACGGCATCCTCGGGGCCAGGCTCTGCTCGAAGCCCGGGGGTGAGACAGCAGTGAACCACATAGCAAACTCACGATGCTTGGGAGGCCAGTGGTCTCACAGTGGGATCAGCGTGTGAGTGCGACCCCAGGCCTGTCCTTCCCTTTACTGTTACTACTGTTATGGGGTCTGAAGGCGGTGCTTTGGGGTTACCATGAGGACCTGGGTGAGGGGTTACAGTCTCCCATGTGTTCAGGAAGCTGCTCTTGGGCATGGAGGCCAGGGACTGAGGGAGGTGAGGCAGTGGGAGGGTGTCCGGGCTGAGAGTGTGAGGGACTATCCTGTGGAGCAATGCATAGGCTGTGAGCTGCAGCAAGTGAGCGAGGAGCCTGTACCTGAGAGCTGAGGGGCCCCGGACTCCGTTCACGCAGGCCTCGCAGTTGCCAGCAGAGATCAGCTTTAAGCAGAGGACAGCCAGGCTCCCCCGCTGCCTCTGGACTGCAGTGGGGGCCGGAGAACAAAGGCTGGTGAGGTGCTGCCATGCTGGTCCGGTGGGTGATGACGGAGACTTCTCCCACGGCGGTGGGAGAAGAGATAGGATCATAAATACACTTTGGAAGTGGAGCCTTTGGTAGGGGGGTCCTCAGATGGACTGAGGATGAAGGCTTTTGGTCAGAGCTCCTGGGAGACTCCAGGTCTGTTTTCCAAGCTGAGAAGGAGGGTGAGGGGCTGGCTGAGGAGGGAAGATGGAGAGCTCAGTGGGGGGTGAGTCGGGGTGAAGACAGCCAACAGCCATCGCCGAGGGCCCCAGCTGAGGGCAGAAGTCTGGGCCAGGGTGACCTGTTCCTCCAGTCCTTCTGTCTTCTCTGTTGCAGGAGCCGCCCCCAGTGGAGCCGGCCCAGAGGCGAGCCAGGGCCCCCCCATCCCCAGGATGACCTCGGCTGGCAGGGCCAACCCCTACAGTATCGTGTCATCAGAGGAGGATGGGGTGCACCTGGTCACCATATCGGGGGCCAACGGCTTTGGAAACGGCAAGGTGCACACGGCGCCGGTGCTGGAACCGCTTTGTCAAGAAGAACGGCCAGTGCAATATTGAGTTCGCCAACATGGATGAGAAGTCACAGCGCTACCTGGCCGACATGTTCACCACCTGCATGGACATCCGCTGGAGCTACATGCTGCTCATCTTCTCGCTGGCCTTCCTCACCTCCTGGCTCCTGTTCGGTGTCATCTTTTGGGTCATCGCTGTGGCACACGGTGACCTGGAGCCAGCCAAGGGCCGTGGCCACATGCCCTGCGTGATGCAGGTGCACAGCTTCATGGCTGCCTTCCTCTTCTCCATCAAGGTGCAGACCACCATCAGCTACGGGCTGCGCTGTGTGATGGAGGAGTGCCTGGTGGCTGTGTTCATGGTGGTGGCACAGTCCATTGTGGGCTGCATCATCGACTCCTTCATGATCGGCTGCCATCATGGCCAAGACGGCTCAGCCCAAGAAGCGGGTGCAGACATTGCTGTTCAGCCACAATGAGGTGGTGGCCCTGCGCGACGGCAAGCTCTGCCTCATGTGGCGCGTGGGCAACCTGAACAAGAGCCACATCGTGGAGGCGCACGTGCAGGCCCAGCTCATCAAGCCGCGGGTCACCGAGGAGGGCGAGTACATCCCGCTGGACCAGATCGACATCGACGTCGGCTTCAACAAAGGCCTCGACCACATCTTCCTCGTGTCCCCCATCACCATCCTGCATGAGATCGACGAGGCCAGCCCACTGCTTGGCATCAGCCGGCAGGACTTGGAGATGGGTAACTTCGAGATCATGGTCATCCTGGAGGGCATGGTGGAGGCCACAGCCATGACCACGCAGGCCCGCAGCTCCTATCTGGCCAATGAGATCCTGTGGGGCCACCGCTTCAAGCCTGTCCTCTTCAAGGAGAAGAACCAGTACAAGATTGACTACTCCCACTTCCATAAGACCTACAAGGTGCCCTCCACACCCCGCTGCAGCACCAAGGACCTGGTGGAGAACAAATTCTGCTGCCCAGTGCCAACTCCTTCTGTTATGAGAATGAGCTGGCTTTCCTGAGCCGCAACGAGGAGGACAAGGCAGATGGAGACCAGGATGGCTGCAGCTCCCAGGCCCAGCATGACTTTGACAGACCTCAGGCAGGTGGTGGCGGCCTCGAGCAGCGGCCTTACAGACAGGAGTCAGAGATCTGAGCCACCATGGGCCAAGGTGCAGCATCCACCCCAGCAGGTGTTCCTCGAGGACCCTGGGTTTGAGCAGAATGGGCCAGGTGCCCCGGTTGCAGACTCAGTAGCGTTTTAGATGCTTTATGTTTCTTCACAGTGGCCTGGGAAGGTTGGTGGGAGAATGCGTGACCAAAGCGGGCAGCCGCCGGCCTCAGAGACTGGAGCAGTGCAGGGAGGTAGCTTCTTGGGGTCCGGGCCAGGAGCCAGGGGCTTCTGTCTGAGGCTAGAACTTTGGCCTGCTCAGAGGTGGCTCAGTGGCCATCCAGCCTCTGTGGGTGAAGGCTGGCAGGCTGCATGGCACCTCGCTGGAGAGAGGAGGTTTCTCCTGGGGAGAAACTCTGGTTTTGGCTTTCTCAACCATAGCTTGAGTAAGACTGTTTACAAAAAAAAAAAAAAAAGATTAACATGTGATTGACAAATAATAATTTCTGGGGATTATAAAAATGGTCAGTGAGAATTCCATTGGTCTGCTGAGATGCGGGTTTTAGATGGGGGCTCCATGAGGTTCCCCGAGGCTGGACAGGCCTCCCCTCCATGAAGGCCAAGTGTGTGCCAGGTTGCGCCATCTGCACAAGCACAAGAGAGGGGCTCATCTGTGGTTCCTTCTGCTCATGGGCAGATTAGATGATGTTTGTGATGGAAAAACCAAGACCATGTTAATGATCATGATAAAAGCTTTCCAGAGTCATAGAGATAGGGGTAGGGGCTGGGAAAAAAACTAGTTTGAGCTTTTTGAGTTTGACTTTTGTACCTAAGAGGTGCGTCTCAGGGATGGATATGGGACCCGACTGCCATGGAGGGTCCACTCTCCCCACCCCCACCAGATTTTCCTGTTTTACTTCTCACCTTTTCTGCCTGATAGCCTCCACCCTTTCCGCAGTGAGGGATGCTTGGAAAATGTTGGAGTAGATGGTTCCATGGGAAGGGAGGGCGGGTTCCCAGACACCCAGGAAGCAGACTGGCCCTATTCCCATGGGACCCCAGTGTGAGTCGTGCCTTAGAGACCCCAGGTGGGCCAGCCCCGGTTGTTTCTGTTTTTCTCCGACTCGCCTGTCCTCCCAGCTGCCCCTGATTCCAACATGAAGTCCTCACCAGCCTGTGTGTCTGCAGAGGTGGGCTGTCTTGGCCTGCTCTCCGCACCTGGGGCAGCCTAGGTGAGTGCAGGGGCATCCCAGCCAGGCTGTCCCCGCTGAAGGGCGGAGGAATGATCTTAGAAGAGATGTGCAGTTGTCAGCCAAGATGACCAGGAGTGGTGCTTGCATCCTGGCAGGCTCATCAGGAAGAAGTTTGCAGCTATTGGCTCTGCTGGCCCGGAAGCAGGGCCCTGGGCCACGGGATGCCCAGCGTGGGCTTGTTCTTGGTAGAGGACACAGCTGGAGGGGATGGAGCAGGCCAGGCCCTTCCCAGGACAGCTAAGAATTTTGCCCTCTCAAATGACCAGGCCTGTAAGGAAGTCCTTAATTAGAAAGCCCATATGTGTCTCCCCAGCCTGCCAGCCTTGGCCACCCCAACCCGTGCCCTCCAAGACAGCTAGGCACCCAGGACCCTGGCCCAAGTGGGGAAACTGAGGCAGATTGCAAGTTCACGCAGTCGGTGGGTGGGTCTTGGGAGGCCAGGAGAGGCCAGGAGCCTGGGGTGAGGGTTCTTATTTCTCACCTCCTCTTCTACCCAACCCCAGGGCAGCTGGAGACCTGGCCTGAGGTCGGAGGCCTTGGAGGATCTGGGCATGAGCTATCGGTTCTCACCCATAGACAACCCGAGTCCATGCCCTGAGGGATGCCTGACTCCCAGCATCCTGCCCTAGCCTCAGGCCCCAGCTTCATTTCCCGCTGGGGTGCTTCAGGCCTTGGAGGTAGCTCTTTCCTCTCAGGATCTGCTGGAGGGTCCTCAGCTCCTTCCCAGCCCAGGGCCTGGCTGGGAAGGGCCTGGCTTCCAGCCCTGAGCCTAGCTGGCTTTCTCCGTTTCAGCTCTGGGGGGCAAGGGTAGAGTTGATATGGGAGGGCTAACCTGCCTGCCCCCTCCCAGACTGTCAGGCTGAATGGGGGAGGGATGAGATGGCCTCAGTCACTTGTGGCTGGCACAGGGGCCTGTGTTCTGCTTTGCCTGCTCTGCCTGGCTGCAGGAGAGCCTTACAGGGCTGGGTGGGGCAGGCTTCCACTGCTACCATCCAGAGCAGAGCCCAGAGCCTCTGGGTCCCCCAAGGCCTCTGTCACCTCAGTGGCCTGGTGCACCTACTCTCAGGCCTGTCCCCCTCCCAGGTCCATGCTGGATGATTCAGTCCCAGACCCTGCAGGAGAGCAGCCCTGGGCTGCCTTTCATCTCTCACCAAAGGCAGATGCTGCATTTTCAAACTCTTCTGCCCTCTTTTTTTTTTCTTCCCTGTATTTATTTATTTATTTATTTATTGCTTGTGCTAAAGACCAAAATAGTCTCCCTCTTTAGTGCACTTGAAATGGGAGGGTGGATGGGAGGAGCCATGTGTGTGCAGAGCAAGGATTCTGTTGTCCCTGGGGAGTGTGTGCTGGAGGGGGTGTATGTGCCTTTGTATGTGTGAGTGTGTGTGTGTGTGTGTGCGTGTGCGTGCATGTGTGTGTGTGGAGAGCATCAACCCTCTGAGTGTGCCACATGCCATGTGTGGTGCGTGTGCCGAGCACAGGTGAGTGGGGAGCATTTCTGCACCTGAGTGTGTGTGTTGGGTGTGCATGTGTGTGTGAGTGTACATGGTGTCTGGTCTGTGTGCTGTGCAGGTGTGTGTAGTCATATACTCCCACCCTCACCCTCCCAGGCACTGGGATTTCCAAGAAGTTTCTCTACAGCCAGAACCAGGAAGTGTGGAGGTGGGAGTGGGCCAAGAACATGGCCTCTGGTGCCCTCTTCCCTGACACACTGAGCTGCTTACATGGGAAATGGGCTGTGCTGGCGTGTGTGTGTGTGTGTGTGTGTGTGAGCACCAAGTGTGTGGCATCACATGCGCCATCATCTCATCTCTGTACAAGCATATGTGTGCAATTACAGCTTTGCCTGAGTGCAGGAGCATGTGGACCCACAGTTCATGGGAGTGCTGTGCAGGTGTGTGCCCATGAGGATCTCCCTGTGTGTGTGAGTCTGGGCTGACGACATATATGCAGTATGCATGTGTGTATAGGTACACACACGCATAGTTCTCTGTTTATTTGCCCAAAGGGGCATGTGTGTGAGTGTGTGTTTTATATGCGGGTTTGGTGTACTGTTCGCCAGGCTATGGGGCCAGGCACACAGGGCACAGGACGGACACCAGCTGTGACCATGGGCACAGCTGAACCCAGCAGTCCCGCTGGCCCTGTGCCCTGATTATATTCACACGGGAATGTGTGGAATGTTTGTGCCGCCATGAGGCTTTTGTGCACGTGGACACGAGGTCCTATCTGCTTGTGTGGGTGAGTGCTGCGTACGGACGGTGTCTGCATGTGTGTGTGTCCCTGTGAACACACAGGTGCATGTGGTGCATTTGGGTGGCGGTGGCGCCTGGTCCGTGCACAGGACTGGTGCCTGCCTGCTGGAGGCTGTACGCATGGGCACGTGGGAGCGCGTGCAGGTCCCAGGAGTGTGTGCACATGAATGTCTGTGGAAGTGGTGTGTCCACGTGCACTCTTGCGCGTGCTGTTTGGGACATGGTGGCCACCCCCCCTTGCCCTGCTGGTGCTGTGCCCCCCTGTCCCTGCCTGCCTGGGGGTCCGGGAGGGATCCACGGGGCGGGAGCGGGGGCATGATGGGAAGGAGGCCCCTGCACAGGGTGTCTGCCCTGCTTGAGGTCATGTCAAATCTATTTTAAATGGTGAAACTGGAGAATTTCATGTTATTTTCAATACATAGCGGTATCTAAAGACATAGACCATGAGACTAGACCACATTAAATGCATTTTGATCTCTTTGAGTGCCACCGTGTGGAGATGTGTGTTTGAAAATCCCTGCCTGGCATTCTTGGGCTGGGTCAGCCCACTGTGACCCTGGGCCTGGGGGGCCAGGATGGGGGTGGGTCCGGTGGGAGCGCTGGGAGAGAGGATAGAGCCCCACCCACTTGCAGACCCCAGCACGCTCTTCCAGCTGGGACACGCCCCCGCGTGCCCCTGTGACCACACACCCTCTCCCGCACAGGCCCTGGAGTGCGCCCTCCCACCTCCTCATGCTGGATGTGATACTTCCCCAGCTGTGTGACCTTGGGCCACTTCCCTATCCTCCCTGGGCCCACACGCCCCCCTTTCACTTCCTTCTGCTGAGATTCAGGGCACGTGTCCACAGGCGGCTGTCTGCTGCGTGTGGGAGAGTGGTCGCTCTTTCTGAGGACTCCATCATGGGAGAACCCCGCCAACAGCCCTGGTTCTCACCACGGTGACAGGACAGAAAGCAGCGGTGGGGAGGCAGAGGGCCCGAGGACCCTCACTCCAGCCTGGCATGGTGACATGGAGGAATTGGAGTGGTGTTCTCCCTGGTGAGGCTGGGGTGAGGAGGGCCACGGGGCAGACAGGGGCCGCCAGTAGGGACAAGAGGACACGCAGGGAGGAAGACATGCAAGACCCATCTATGGGAAAGGAGGATGTTATCTGTACCAAGTGCTCAGTCTCTAGGGTGTCAGTGGCCTTCTGGCAGAGGCCCACAGGGAGAAAATTCTTTCCATTGCCCCAGCTCATTCCCTCATTGGAGAACTTCTCTGCATCAGTGAAGGACCCCAGGGAAGCTTCATTCTGTGGGATTCAGGGGATGATTCAGGATAAGGAGCTCAGGCAGAGGTGCCATGCAGGGATGAAGGACAGGGGTTCGGGAGGGGCTGGGGGCAGGTCACAAAGGCTTCTTGGAGGTTTTTCCTCCAGGTTGAACCTGGAGACAGGAAGACACTAAAGGTGGTTGGCTTGATCTGGGATTGGGGGTGGGGATCCCCGCTCCTAGTCCCAGAGCCCTCCGAGATACCCCAGTACTAGAGTCTAAGCCAG